CCGCGGTTAACTATGACATATGGACGTTTAACATCTCAGTCCCGCCCGTGACCATGAGTGCTGTAAAGCGTTCGAAACGTCGGGTATTTAAAAGTTAAATATACGCGATAAATTCTGTAAAAACTAGTATTATTTCAATATCGAAATGGTAATTAATTACATAGAAACAGAAATAACAATATATGTAATTAAACATTTACATATTACATCTAAGAATACATTAATTGTTGTATAAAATCATAATGTTTAACGATTTAATGATAGGAATGATTTGATGATTTAGTCATCATTGTTTTTTATTCATATGGCAATTATTTATTGATATTTGACAGAAAAGAATATCTGTCTTTTTATTTGTCAATTTTTCTTCTTTATTAACTGGCTTTACGGCTCTGATTTCTAGACCTTCTGAGCCTATCCTTTCTTTTAGAATCTACATTTTATGTTCTTTTTCTCCACAATATGCTGATGCGTCACATTGCGAAGCCCTTCTCATGATCAGCAGTTGCACTACTACAACCACTAAACCAATGAGGTAGTCAATAGTATAACAACATGAAATATAATGATTTCTTATATTTACGCGAACACTACACATCTTTTACGGATTTTATCGCGTTCCCCCGTGACCATGGGTGCTGGAAAGCGCCCGAAACGTCGGGAATTAAAAATAAAAGTAATTAAAAGTAAAATAAACGCGATAAAATCCGTAAAAGTAGTTTTAATCAACATGAAATATAATGATTTCTTATATTTACGCCATGCACCCATGGTCACGGGGGGGGACTGAGATGTTTGACGTCCCAATGTCATAGTTAGTCCGGCTACCTTCAGTTTTTGAATATTAATTGTTAGTCCGATTTACGCAAAACGAGCTTATAGTATCATGAAGTCTTGCAGTGGTATGCTTGGGTTTGGGTTTAATTTTGTTAATTATAGGATCCCAAGCAGCTGGCAGCACCCATCCATCTTCTCTATTGAAATTTGGATGTTTTTTAATTATTTTAGTAGCCTCGCGTATCATCCTTGTTAGGAATCTGTGTTCTTTTGCGAGGATTTGTGGTTTATCAAATCGAATGTAATGGTGGGGACGATCTTGAACATGTTCGCAGACTGCAGACTTCCCGGAGCGTCGGTGCTTCACGTCAGCTATATGTTCCTTCACGGGTATTTTTATAGATCTTTTTGTTTGACCAATGTAAGAGAGACCACATTCACTCACATCCCTCTACGGGATGCAAGTGTGTACAAGCTAGATTGTGAATGTGGTTTCTTTTACATAGGTAGGCAAATCGTGGTACCCTCAGTTCGAGTCAAGATTTCATCGGTATGACTTTTTTACTTTTTATTTTTTAAAGTTCCTTTTCCCTTTTTATTTCGAGCCCTTTTTTAGTATTTTTTTAAAAACACAAATAATTAAATTAAACTAATTGCTCTCATGATTTTTTTATTTAAATAACCAGTTCAGTTTTTTTAATTATGTCGGTATTATCGAAAAACATTATTCATATTTCATCAGTATGTAATTTGTATCTAAATATAATTTCCAAAAAACACGATTTACAAAAAAAAAAGACGTGTGGCACTCGGGGACTGCCGCGGTAAAGCTATTGCATAGCATTTTTTATCAACTTATGCAATTATAATTAATTATTTATTTTATTTATGCAGTTAAGTCTTTGATATTAAATCAAGTTACACTTTTTGAGCGTGGTGACCGATAAGAAAACAATTTTTTTCTCTTATTGTATAAATGAGAAGTTAATATTGTTTACCACTTGCGTTTGCCGCGCTTTGTCTCGTCACAAAGTGGCGAAATCACAGTAATATAGGTATTTTATAAACAGCACCTGTCTAATATTATGAAATATGTAGATAAAACTTAAAACTTACCTTGATAACCTTAACTTACCTTGATACCCTTTTGTTTGTAATATTTTTTTAGACCTCTCTTCAATCGTTTCTGCTTATTCCCCATGTTTTACAAACTAAACTTAAACATTAATAAAACTGTACAATTAACAATTACTATTAAACAAGAATCAGAAAAAACCTACTCCACTATTAACAAAATTAAATTTTTGCAGTAATATTTTACGATTTTATTTCGTAGTGCTGAGCTCTCGCAACGCGGCTTACGTCCACCTAGCAACACGATGCGCCCCGCACTGAATTCGTGGACGAATGCGGGGGTGATATAGACGCAGTATTTAATCGGGACGCATTTTTAATTTATTATCATAAAAATAATACATATTTCTAAAAAGTAACCAAACCAAATTATTTTATTTTGTATTGCAAAGCAGTAGATATTTTTTTTATATTCCTTTGATAAACAATGAAGGAGTAAAGTGGTTTCATCTCAACGATTTGGAGGTGATTTGGGTATTTTTTTATTCATTATGTGACACCGATAGAAAAATTATGGCTAAACCAAATTACGTATCAGATCATGTAGATTACTAGCTATTTTTTTCATATGTAATTTCTCTGTTAGTGTCGATGAAAAGTTGGTTCATCTGCACGCTTTTTTCAAGCTTTTTGCGAGAGAGCAGCCTTAATAATAAATGCACTTTGTTCATTCATATTCAAAGTTTCAAAACACTTTATACACAAACACCGTGTCGAAGACTGAGGAAAAGAAACGACGTTAGACCATCGTTAGACAATGCACGGCCTTCAAGCCACACCTCCGTGCCCGTCGGAGAGCGTGAGGTTTTTTTCGTTACGAAATTTCTGGATTTTCCCGCACTCAAGGCCCGCGATAGAAGCTATGCAATAGCTTAAAAATACCGAGCAAACCTCGGTTATCCAGGTTTTGCATAAAACGCAGTTGACAGAGTCTTCAGTTAAATATCTATAATGTAGACAGGTACTTACGTGTTTAGTCTGCTCTCAGACGTGCAAATATTTAAAACAAAAACTATCTATCAGTGGAGCAGATAAATAATTAAACTAATTTTTACATTCTAAATATTCTTTTAGGTCATAGAAACAATTTTCAAATAACGATTCCTTTAATTTTTTTTTAAACAGGCTCCTTCTTTTTCTTTTAAAGGTAATGTGTTATATAATAATATGCTCATGTTATATAAATAAAAAAGTATGGTTGTGTATTTTAGGTATTTTATGTGTCTACCTATCGGCACAGCAATATTTCCGTAGGATGTTTGCCATAGTTGCCACGCTTGGCATGCGAGTTGTCAACTGCAATTTTTATTATTATAAGCTATGATCAGGAAGACGCTGCTTCCCATCTTATGTATATTTCTACTGCTGTTCATGAATTTATTTCTTCTTACACGTTCTCCGTGAATAGAACTACATTTATGAAATTTTGAAGTCTACTCGATCGTAAAAAAATACTGGTATGTGGTGGTAACAAATATTCAATGGGACGAGTATTAATAAAGATCGTGAAATAAAACCTTATTTTATCAAAACTGTATCAACTTTAAAAATGATTATTATGTAAATAAGATAACGCATTTCCGATTCCAGGACAATTCTCTCTTCATAATGACACATCGGAATACGTGCCCGATTTAAAAAAAAGGTGTAGCTTTACGTATGATATTTATGTGATTCTGATAAAGTAACTTATGTGTTTCTGTAGCCTATATAATATTGCCAATATAGACACAGATACTGACGTCTCTCTACAAGTGATCCAGTTTTGCTAAGTTTAGTACGAAATAGTTTTATCGATGTTTCTAAATTCCAGCCCACGCGAGCGAAGCCGCGAGTAAAAAGCTAGTTTTGAAATATATCTACATATTTTCTTACTAATTTGGATGATTCTTATATGTATAAAGATGTAACTGTTATAATAATAATCTTGTATTGTATGAAATACGGTTTACAGTTTTCCCTGGAGTCAATACTTGCTAGAGCGCTTATACATTATTTGAGCGATAACATATATAAATAATTTTGGATGTCTGTGCAGTTTCCCCACAACGGTATACAGTTAACGCTTGCCGTGCAAAGGGCATTACTCTTAAATGTTGCAAACTCTGGGACACTAACAACAAAGAGCCCTTTTTCTCTACAACTTATTCACACAACAGATATACGATATAGCTATTTGGCAAAGGTTTTCTGTAAGCTGAACGCAACTAATTATTACATCTCAAGAACCATTCTCCAGCTTGGGTTGCTGTGTCAAAATACCACGAAATTATTACGGGCAAACGGATACTGTGCGACAAAGTAGTATACACAATTTCCGTAAGATAATAAGATGACACTATTACATTAGTGTGCGCGTATAATAGTGTAGGAAACCCACACATTCAAAAATAATGCAACAGTTTTTCAAGGTTGTGAAGAAAACATATATAAAAACGAAGATTACGAAAGAAAAGATTCTAAGAACTGAACTGAACAAGATTCACCAATCTTAAGCTCACAAAACACTTTTTTCTCACTTAAACCAACTTGTAAACTCCTTAGATCGTTATGAACTGTCAAAGTTTTTTAGCAAAGTGTAGTTTGCTAAACAAAAAACCGGCACGGAGAAAGGGACAAACAATCACACCGCTCTGTCTCACTTCTATGCAAGACGTATGTATAAATCTATCTTTTTCGTGTGCGAATGCGAAAGAAGGCGTCAATTTGTCTATTGGTTTCCCTGTCTACGACATTATTATATATTACTCTATGGTCTATGTAGATAACCTTAAAAATTAAAACTGGTTATAACTTTTATATCCCAAGTTTTAAAAATCTAAGAATTTAAAAGGGGTTTGTCTTTCCTACTAAGTACCAATTAAAACCAAAAATATCCCAAACACGAAATTTTATTAGCATTACGAAACTTCCATACAAGTACAAGCCTGCTATTTCCCTATGCTTAATATAAGAAAATAAAAATATTATTTCACAATTGTGTCATTCCCTTTTCCAAGAAGAAATATCAATATTCGATATGAATAAAATCCTTACATCTATTCTAGCGTACTTATTTTAACAAATAACGTATTAAAAATATTATGATTTTACAAATGTTTTTGTATATCGTAAACAATCAGATTCTTAAGGTAATTATCATCTTCAGCGAGGATTTCGACAATACTAAAGTGATCTAAATCGTCTTTTATTTCCAAATACACATTCTGCATAAGAATGTTATGAAGAAGTGCGTAGAACTCTCTAGACTGTTTTTTGAACGTTGGGCTGTCGTTTTGGGCGGCTAGGATGTACACTCTCAATTTTCTTGACTGCAAATGAGTATAGAAATCGAATAAAGGCGACAGTGGTATTGCATATTCATGTGGGAGTTGTACAGCGTCATTTACAGATGTGTAGACTAACTCCCGTAAATCGTATATGCCCGATATAAGGAAAACTCCTCGTAACCGATGCGATCCTGGATTGTCCTCGAAGAAATCGACATTGCTTAATAGTTTAGCCACCAATTGCCCGCCGGATGAGTGACCTGCGAAGTACATGCCTCTGTAAGTATATAAAATAATAAGTGCATTATAAATAGAGAAAAAAGAAAAACTGATTATCTATGGCCCAGCTCGTTCTCTGTGACACAGATCGCTATCCTTATAGACATTTCTTTAAAGGGTAAGAGAGCCAGTTTTTACTTTTACGACATTCGTAATAAACATTACTGTAAAATATTGGTAAATAAAGCTCGTCAATATAGCCAAATCTTTTACGAAGCCATATATGATTAAATTGCGAAACAGTTTTTTTTTTAAATACATATTCTCGGGCTTAAAGAAGTGTCTTAGTAACGAAAGAAATCCCTTAGCTACGGCGCCACATAATATGTATAGGTACTATTACTACAATTCCATACTTTATATTTAAGTTCACATTTTTTCCCACGGGACGGCTCCGCAGCCTACGAAAACCACGTTTTTACTTGATTTAGGAAGTTAGGGAAAGGAAAAGGAAAGTTAGGAAGAGGATCCCTGACAATGGTGGCCTAATTCTACAAAAATTGTAACTATTTGTGATTCAGGCAGACCTTGATCCCATTTTCTCCGCGTACTCGAACACGAATTTCGCGGCATTTTCAATCTGACGCACTATTTCCGGCAGCGTAACGAACGGGCTCAGATCGTACCCAACCACAATTGTTTTGATCTGAGAGCGGTAAAGCGGCAGCGCAGGGTACCGAGATATCTCACGCGATAGCGTCTGCCAGAAACCCCCGTGGACGTATACCAGGATTGGAGAATCTGTAAAAAAAATTATATATATAAAATATATAATATAAACCGATCACCTTATCGTAATTACACCTTGTAGTATATTTCATCTTAAACGTATTATACAAAAATGTCAATAAATGTAATAAACCAGAAAACGAAATAATATGTTGCTTTGTATTGAATAAAATACTTTTGCCAAATGTAGCGCCCAAAGTAGAGGTAAAGAATTTTTAGCATGCTTGTCGTGTTATGCTAATACAAGAGAATCCAGTACCTTATTTCTACCCGCAGGAATCATAGGAGGCAGTTGCCTATGCCATTTTTCTGGTTTTCCCATAACTGTCAGAAAATCTGGTAGACGGCGCTATACCATCTTGTTTAAGGCAGACGTACAACATCTTGTTTACCCATGATGATGATTATTATTATTATGATACAACATTTTAGTTTTGGATAGTAAATGAAACCACTTTATTGATTTAGTCTAGTAACATTTTTGATTGTCTAGTGTATGACGACGATTCAGCTCGAATAATTTTGTAAGTAAATAAGGACGATATTTTGTCTTTCTGGAGAGGAAAAGAAGAAGTATTTCCACTCCCTCCACTTCATCGTTAGATAACATAATTTATCTATGTAAGGTTTTATGTAAGAAATCACTTTAATATGTTACATAAACAGTGTATTTATTCTATATTGCCACACCTACATAAAATTCTCACGACTCCATGGGTTGGCTGGTAAAGAATGCCTCAAGGCATTAAGTCCACCCTTTGTATTATTTTGTTTTAAGGAATGCAGTAAAGAATAAATAAATTAAAAAAATAACAGTGTGGAGGTAACGTTATAAAATAACCTTAAACACCGTGAAACTTGCGAGACATCTTGTATTCGTGATCTAATAAACGTGAAGTCTTGGTCAAAAGTTTCCATGAATTACATAACATAAATTATTATTTAACTGTTGTAATCGTACACCCGTTAATCGATCGAATCAAAAACAAGTCGCTTAACATGTTTTCAAAATTAACATCCTGCTGTCAAAAATTCATGTGGGTTCAATTACATCTGGGGTGGACGCCATCTTGTTAAATGACCTTTGGCGTCGCAGTGGCAAAAGGTAAACATTTAGGTCTCTCTTGTTTCTGGACCTTCGTTCAGCTCAAATATTATATAAATTTTGTACGTGATGGAGCCACGCTGCAGCAATATTATGGTATGTAGAATGAATGGGTTTGTTTGAACAGTCAAGGACCATGTTCTCACAGAACACCAGCGTAAAACAGCAGCTTAACGCTGCTGTGTTTCTTATGGTGAGTGTAGAGAACCGGAGACTCTTTCCACTTAAAACGGAGAAAACGGAGCATTTCATCTTAGTCCTTAGGGTTGACATCTGCATTTTGATTTAACAACAAAAATCTAAAAAATTAAGGATAAATATAGATGTCCATGAGCATACTTACCATCGGGTGGACTATGTGCTTGTTCGTCGCCCTAATTCTAAAAATATCATTATATTAATTAGTATACTTTTGTAAGTTATCACACAATAATTTTTCATCGAGACGATCGTTAATAGATATGCAATATAACATTATTGGTAATACCTAATATATGCGTCATACAAAAACAAATAATTATATTGCGCAAAACGCGTAGGTATGTTCTACTACCGTCTAAACATCAGGAATCCGACGTTTTGTCGCATGAAATCTTATCTAACAATCATATTGAATTGGATTTGATTTGAATGATTAATAATTGATAATTATGGCGATAAATGGTTGTAAAAATTTTCCTTTCATTGTTTTGATTGTATAAAAATAATGGTAATGTATTTTCTTATTCTCTTGCCATAACATAACCATCGTTTAAATAATTATGTTTAATATGATAAACGCAAGCAAATTCAATAATGATTATATTGTATAAATTTATAATAAACTAGCTTGCCAGGCAGACGTTGTTCTGCCCTTTTCGACGACCCTTTGTCATTTCCTAATAAAAATTCTTAAATTAGCAAAAAAAATGTGTGGGTCACTCATGGACAAAAAAACTATCCTATCTCTCAAGTTGTCTAAACTGCACACGGTGTGCAAATTTGATTAAAATCGGTTAAGTAGTGTTACGAGCTTGAGGTTCGTGACAATAAAAATTGCCGATAGAATTACCTAAATTAACACTTTAATTTTCTTTACACCAATTAAAACTTAAAACACTAATAATTAATCACACTGATTCACTTTATTCCGCTCCGAAGCTTCGCTTGTCTCGCCGAATTCAATACTTCCCCGATCGCATCTTGCAGCGCCTATAAATACAAATTAGCACCGAAACATCCAGAATATTCAAGTAAACACGCGCAAGGGGCCGAGAGTTTGAGTGTTAACTTCTAGAAGCTTAGTTCTTCGTTCCGAGACTAGACGACACTGTCGGTTGAAAGATTAGTGATGCCATTTTCTGGAAAGCTCCCCTCGCTCTCGTCCCTGACACTAGATCTATGCCAGACATACGTCGACTTATTCGCGCAACACTGCCCCCTCCTAAGACATGCTCGTCCCGAGCATTATAGCCCCATAATAACGCACCAAGCGATCCACATGGACGATCTCAGGAGTACCTCTTGCGCCTTTCTGTATCCGGTAGGTTACATCGTTGATCCTGGTTACAATCCGGTACGGGCCGTCCCATTTAGCTTGAAGCTTAGGAGATTTCCCTTTGCTGCGGACTGGATTGTGCAACCACACTAGTGAACCTTCGTCGAAGCCTTTATTGTTCATTTTGCGGTCGTACCGGGTTTTCATCTTCTCAGACATTTGCTGGCCCGATTGTCTGACGTGTCATTCATTTTGTTCCGCAAGTCATTTGCATAATCGGTTATACTGCGTGGGGCATCAGATGGTATCCCGGTGATCAGGTCTGCAGGCAGCCGTAATTCTCTTCCAAAGTTTGCGAAAGCTGGTCTCACTGCTGTACTTTCGTGAACAGCGCTTCGATATGACAACAAAAACGGCTGTATGTGCTTGTCCCAATCTCGTTGCCGATTGTCTACAACTTTTGCTAGGTACCTCTCCAATGTCTGATTAAATCGTTCTACCATTCCATCAGATTGCGGGTGATAAGAAGTCGTTCTTGTTTTATGAGTACCCATAACTCGGCAAGTTTCCTGGAATATTTGAGACTCAAAATTCCTTCCTTGATCGCTGTGAATCTCTAAAGGTACTCCAAAACGACAGAAGACTTCATGAACTAGCTTATACGCAACTGTTGAAGCTTCTTGATTTGGAATGGCGAAGACTTCTGGCCACTTAGTGAAGTAATCCATCACAACCATGAAATACTTGTTACCGCTTTCACTCTCCGGAAACGGCCCCGCCACGTCAATGGCTATTCTCTCCCATGGTGCACCAACATTGTACAACTTCAATGCACCTCTACTACGAGTCTGAGGTCCCTTTACAGCCGCACAACTTGTACATTTGCGACACAAGTCCTCGACATCGTTTCGACAGTGGACCCAGTAAAACCGTTCTGGGATCTTCAGTAGAGTTCGTTTAACTCCCAAATGGCCTCCTGAACAATCATTATGGTACAGCTGTAGAACATCCGGTACTTTAGCTTTAGGGACAACCATTTGCAAATGACAGCTGTCTCCCCGAACATTTTCCCATTTACGACACAGAACTCCATCCTGAAGCAGCAAGCTGTTCCACTGGGCCTAATAGCTTTTAGTGGTCGAACTCATCGCTGAGACGTCGCTCCACTTGGGCTTGGGAGCACTGGCCTTTATTCATTCCAGAATCGGCTTGATTTCCGGATCTTCCTGCTGTGCATGTAGTAAGCAGTCCTTCCACTCGTAGCTGAGGTGGTCTGCCCTGAGCATCCCCACAGATACCCTTTTCCTTACTCTCTTGCCTAGTACAATGGTTGCAATCTTCAGGACAAGGTCTTCTTGGCAATGCATCTGCGTTGCCATGAGATTTCTCGCTGCGATGTCTGATAGTAAAGTCGTATCCCGGCTGCTGCTGGGTGGTGATGTTAGCCGCACTTCTCTTCTGAGATCGTTCACCTTCCCTTTCTAGGGTTCGCTTAGGGCAGCTGGATCAAAGATGGCCCATTTCCCCACAGCCATACCACCTAGGGCTGTATCCTTTACTGTGGTCGCGAACCGTAACTGCTGCAATGTCCCTAACGTGAGGGGTACGATGATCCTGACGCCGCCAGTCACTGCCGTTAGCTGCACTACTCTCTCGAGATCGATCAACTTCCCTTTCTACGGTTCGCTTAGGGCAGCTGGATCGAAGGTGGCCCCTTTCCCCACAGCCATAGCACCTAGGGCTGTATCCTTTGTTGCGGTCGCGAACTGTAGCTGATGCAACCTCCCTGACGCGATGGGAACGATGATCCTGCCGCACGGCTTCCACCTCCAGTGCATGGGCCAAGGCGTCCTTAAGCGTCTCGTGGTGCTCGAGCCTCACAGCAGCTCTGACTTCCAGGTCGCGGATGCCGTCGATGAATGTCTGCACCAGGTTCCCTTCAATGAGCGCAGGTACAGACCGGTATGCTTTTCGCACCAGCTTCTCCACCTCTAGAGCCCACTGCTCATGTTTTCGTTGATGCGGTGCACGCGATCTTTAAGCTGCGCCCGAAAGACGTGTTCCAGGTGAGCGTCGCCATATCTCGCCTCCAATGCCTCAAGGAGTTGCTCATAAGTCACTTCCTCACCGAGAGCTTCCAGAACTGTTAAGGCCTGGTCGCGCAGGCCTAGTATGAGAGCAGTCATGGCCTGACTTTTATTCCAGCCGTTCGCCTTCATAACAGCCTTGAACTGGATTTTGTAGGCTGACCAGGAAGAAGTCCCATCGAACGGTGGCACGTTGAACCCACGTAGCGAAGATGTAGTAGCTACTACGGGAGCTGTAGTTCCATCCCCAAGTTTGAGATCATCCAGCGTTTTCTTAACTTCGTTAATTTGGGTCTCGGCTTCCGACAGGCGGTTATCATGTTGAGCAACCTTATCCTTCACCTCCCTTATCTCTTTCCCGAAGGTAGCGTGAAGGTCCTTCATGAGAAGCATCTGCTCTTCCCTATCGCGTTTGATCTGCTCTTCTAAGTAACGGGCCTGTTCTTCCTGCCCGCCCCGCAGCTGCTCTTCCAACCGACGGACCTGTTCCTCCTGTCGGCGAGCCTGTTCCTCCTGCTGCTCTTTCAACAGACGGGCCTGTTCCTCTCGTCCGCGCTGCAGCTGCTCCTGTAGCATCGCCATCAGAGCACCTAAGTCAGGTGCTGCAGATGTAGGAGCTACCGACGGGCCTGCAGCCGGTGGCTGGCCCTCCGACGTCTGCGGCGTTGCACCACCAAATCTTCTTTGGTCCGTCTCCTGCTGGCGTTGACTTCGGGTACGGACACCC